TTTGTTTCATCCAGTTATTTGTGAGCTTTTTGAAAACTGCATAAAAATAATAATCCTTAAATCTCTGAATACATCCGGTTTCATTATGCATTATGATATATGATAAATATATGTATATATGATTATATATTACTATATTATAATGAAGTGAAATGCACAAATATTTTTGAGAAGTGTCTAGGTGGCGACAACAATAAAAGAAATGTGTCAATGTGAAGCTCTGGAAAAGATGGTATATGGGGTAAAAAGGTGAGTCTGTTCTGAAACTAAAACGTTTTGAACCAATGACCACAATTTCTTTATGATTATTTTTGAAGTATTTGAATCAAAGTGTTAGTTTTGGATCAACTTTTAACCCCAAGAATGTATTAGCTGATGAAAGGAACAGACTCACTGATGATGAAAATTAAAGGGCCAGAGCTAATTAAAGCAAGAATTAATTAATAAGAAATAAAATACAAAATCATTGTGAAAGAGCTTCAGAAAAAAAAAGATGATATAAAACAGCTTAAGGAATGAAAAGGTGTCTTCTTGAAAGTTAAGCACCTTGGATACTCAGGGTGATAAATTGAGTGTAATATTCTTTTAAAGGTCTCCTTTACCATTCTGTTAAAAGTGCCAAAGCAATAATAAAGCTAAACATTGGAAAAAGAAAAGTGTGTTGTTTCTTCTTCAGACTATAAGGAGTAGAATCAGCAAAAACAACAAAGACTCGTTTTAGTTTTAAACTTTATTCATAATCCTCTCATACCAGTTATTAGTGCATTACCAGCCTTGCATTTCATTAAAACCTGTGACGGAGGCCTCTCACATGTTTGAATGTTAAATGAAAAATGGCCTCCTGAGAGGGATTTGAGACAAAAGTGCAGTCTTAGCGCCGTGTCACCAGCTTCTTGTCCTTCATGTTTAAACACACAGTTTGAAGGCGTGAGGCCCACCAGTTCTCCAATCCTGTATTTTCCTTTAGCTGGGACTGTGCTCTCCCTCTAAGTCATTTTAGGTTCCCTTGACGGGAAGACAAATACCAACAAATACGGACACAGTCACGATGAAGCTCTGAGGAGGAGCTGGAGTAATTGTCTCTTTTTTATCTCTTACTTTTCTTCTGTTGATAAAGTAATTCGGTAAAGTAAAGCTTTTCACAACCATAAAACTTTCCATCTGTAATTTTTTGTACAATTATTTTATATATTAACAAGAACTACTTTGACATTTGACAAACATTTACCTTGAATGACATCAAAAGTAAAAAATAAGCTTTATAAAATTAAATAAATGAAATAAAAATACATGAATAAAAACACAGCCATTTATTTCTTTTTTTTTGTTGTGCTTTTTGATTGTTTTAAAAGCGGTACGGACAAAGAGATGAGGAATCTCTGTTTGCACACACGACGCGTTGGATTATGCTTCAGTTACCATGAACAGCCTCAGAGTCAGCTCTGTCAGTAATCAACACACCTGCTCGGCGGATAGCTAGTTAACCTTCCACTTCTACGACGAGCTAAATAACTTCAGCACAACCAGACAAAAACAAGATGATGAGCTGGTGCCGTGGAGAGACGACCACGAGGGGGGACACCGATCCCCGAGGGGGCCTGTGGGTGAGGAGGCAGCCATGGAGAGCAAGCCTGCTGGTGCCTCCTTCCATGCTGATTTATCTCGTCTGGGAAATGAGGAGACATAAACACACAGCAGAGTGCACAGGCACAGAAAGCCTTCTGCATCTAACGCTTTAACCCTAACAGACTATAAATCGGTGTCAGGCGCTTTAGAGCAGCCCTCTGTATGGATGGAGGAAGTCCTTCAAAAAGTACTTATAACACTTGAACTTTTTTATTTTGTCACGTCAAATTTTTTTTTTTCTAACCGAGATGTGATGTGATGGACCAACACAAAAAAGGATATACTTGTGAAATACAGAAGAAACATATTAAAGATATTAAAAAATGAGTAAAAATGTCTTAAATTAAGTGTATTTAACCTTAATTCAAGCCAGTAAATAAGATATTCTGCCAATGGAATGAACATTTCTAATCTTGTAATAAGTATAAAATTAGATAATTAGATAATATGCTCTTGGAATAAGAGACTGCAGTTGTTTTTTTCTTATTTTAAATGTAAATTCCCTTATTCCATTGGCAAAGTGTATCACTTAACTGCTCAATTCAAGAAAAAAAATGCCCTTTTTTAAAGAAAAATAAACTTAGATTTAATTGTTTTGCAGTGTATCTCTGAATGAAATTCAGTTTTACTAACTGCTGTAAAAATTCACCTAATCATTCACCTGTTTTATTTAATAATAGTATTATTTCCTGCTGTTCATTAGCAAACATTAGTTAACTAAAAGCAGGTTGAAGGAGATGAGCTGAAAGGTCAGGAATGTTACCTCATTGGTCAATGAGAATGACTCTCCTGTATGACCATCCACCTAAACCCAACAGGGACGAGCACTAATCTGAGTGGCCAATGGTAACTCTGGGAGAGCTGAAGAGATCCATAGCTCAGCTGGGAGAATCTGTTGACATGACAGCTATAATCTTTGCTCCCCACAATTTATTCTTTTATGGAAGGTCAAGAAGAAAGAAACCCATAGATCCTGTTTCCAGTTTCCACCCTACAGCAGACATGTGGAGTAGCTGCTCAGGTAAGATGAGACCTACCGGTATATGTTCACTCATCAACCTGTAAACAATATCAGCAGAGGGAAACATGGCAACAGCAGCATCATGCTGCTTTTTCCCAAGAGGCGACAAGGGAGCCACAAAGAGTTGATGGAAAGATCAAATGGTCCAGCCGAAATCCAATCCCAAAGAGCTGCTTTTTGACAAAGCATCAACTCTGGCTAAGCCTGTTTAAGAAGGGCCGTCAACATCCCCAATCTCTGCGGATAGCCGGTAGAGAAATATTTTTAAAAACTAGCAGCTGGAATTCTGTGGAAAACGAGTTTCAGGAGGACTGAATGCATCCAGAACCACACACCTCTCTGTGTTTTGGTCTGTCACATCACATTGTGTTAAAACAAAGTGAACTTTGTGGTTGGAATTTAAAAATGTTCAAGTGGTACGAATACTTTCACAACTCTCTGTGTACTTTGCATACAGGCTCCAGTGAAGGCAACCCTGAAAAACATGTTAATAATATATTTAAGTTTATAGAAGAAAAAAAAAAAGGACTTTTGTTGTAACTGAACATCTGAACCTGCTGCATCTTAAAACCAACTCCTTAAAGGAGTTCCTGGTAAGTGGAAGCTGAAATACTTTTTTTTTTGTGAGAATACGTTTGTCTCCACATATTTTTGGTCATGTAGTGTTGAAAGATAAATTCGGTTGAAATTTTCCTGCAGGGCTGCAGCTGCTTAACTCGAGCTGATGGCCTACTTCTCCTTCCCCCGGAGCCTCCATGTATCATGCCGGCCTCCTCAACTCATGATGTCGTCTCTCCAGAGCGCCACTGACACACTTACTGTAGGTCCTTCTCTACCTTATACCAGGCCAATACATTAAGCTTTGAGGGAAACTCTTTCCCAACATTTTCTCCTCTGAGTTTCTAAAAGCAGGGGAATTATTTTCCACCTTTGTAAACTAGCAAAGACAAGCCTTATCTAAAGTTTTTTATGCCTCTTCTGCAGTTGTGATCACAATCTCCACCTTCTTAGTTTAGAGAGGAGAAAACCAGATCGCTTGAGCAAACATTTTAGTGGCAGCATGCCATGAGAGAAAGAAATAGAGCCAATGAATTCAGCTTAAAAGTCTTCTGAAATAACCCTCAGGAGCCACGCTTTACATGCAGAATGGTGGCTTGCACCAAAGGAAAGCTGGGTTTCATAGAGTCAGAGTTGAGGGTAAATGAGGTCATGCTATCAACTATGATCAATCCAACCCTCTGCAGAAAAATGCAAAACAAATGATCAGTGATTAAGTTTTACGAGTCTCAACAGAAGCAGAGCTTTTTGCAGAGTTTTGACAGCCGGTAATGGATATGACCAAACCGTACCGTCAGTAGTATGTGATGCTAACGCAGCATGCCCTGACAGCCATGCTTGTTTATTAGCACGCAGCAAACCTGGAAGCAGGAGAAATATCAAATGGCTCTCTGCTTTAAAAGGACGTGGAAGCAGAGTGCTTCAGCTTTGTGGTTCGGACCGATGTAGATAGAAGAGATTTTCTCCCTGCAATAATGCTGCCCAGAGTCTCTTCTGTGTCTCAGCAATGACTGGGAAGATTCAGCATTAGCGGTAAAAGATTGGACCATTAAGAAAAGTGTGAGTCCAACAAGCTTATGGAGGTTTGATGGACCTCCTAAACTCACTGGCTATTTTCCATAGTGACATCATTAACGAGAACGGAGGGGATAGGATCTGGGAGCGGCTTCAGACGATGGATTTAAGACACATTTTACTTCTTTTTTCCACGATAGCGATAACAGCAAGAACCGCTTGAGACTTTTTCCTATTTGCTGCAAACAAACATTTCAAAATACAACTGAGCATGACCAGAAACCATAGAATGTAATAAGAATTACAAAAACTTGATTTAGCCCTTGAATTGAAAAAACAGTCTAGAAACTGAGATGCATGGCAGGTTGAACAGATTTGGAACAGTTTCTCTTCTCTTCTGTTCTGTCTAAGGGTTGGAGGAGAGCCATTCGGTTAGGATCTACAATAAAAATGGGCTGCAGTCATAATATGTGTCTCACAGACACCCAATCGTTGTGCTTTAGAGCATCTCAGCCCAGATGATCACACACCACTTCCCTCCTGCCAGAGTAGTCTGGCTTCCCAATCCCTAAAATTCTCCACCAGGGTTTGGATTCAGTAGACAGAAAGAAAAAAAAAGAGTTAAGAGCAAGAAAGCAGGAATTAAAAGCATGTTTACTGACTCATCCAAATGTCCATGAGGGTTTATTAAGCTCCTTTTTTACTCCATCATAAGAACGGTTTCAATGAGTATATTACAGTTTGGTCTTTTATTTTTATCTTTTTCGTTGTTTTCTGTTGATTTTCTTCATGTTAGGCAACTGATTGTGTCGAGGGAAGAAAACCAAAGCCCCTGAGGGAGAAACTGGAGGGAGAAAAGAGGAGAAACTAGTAGACGTTGCTTGATATGTGCCCCGTTTGTGTCACCAGCTGGGTGATTGGGTCTGTTCTGTCTGTGCTGCTGTCAGAAGAAAGGGGGGGGGAAGGGTCAGAGAAGACTTGCCAAAAGGGTCGAAGGTAAAAAGGGGTCCGAAGTTTAAAAAAAGGTAAGCCCTAGGTCTCTTTGCCGCACTCTCGTTCTCGCTGTCCACTCTTGCTCATCTTCATCTCTGTCAGCTGGATGTACCTCAGCACGTTGGTGTCTGCAACAAACGGAAAACTTTATGCATAAGCGTAGGAACCATGACTTCAGTTAATAAAGCCATGCTGTTTTTCTCACAACGCTGTTAATGAGGTTTCATTTGCCATAGAAAAACGTTTTCCACTATATAACCAACATGTTAAAATTCAGTTTGAAAACTAAGACAAGCAGGTACAGTTAAACCTCAGATTATACACCTCCTGATACACTGAGAACTTAAGTTTTTTTTGTATCTTTTCTTGTGATAGTAAAAATCCTTAGTGTTTTAGTATGGTTCAGCCAGAATCTTGACTTAAATCTGACAGGGAATCTGAGAAGGGAGCTGAAGATCAGGGTTATGGCAAGGAAGCCTTACCCCCTCAAAGATATGTCATCAAAATGCCATAATGTTAACCAGTTTTATATACAAACAATGTGAATTTTAATTCTCCGGATACCCAAACCAGGCTGACTCTGCTGTGATGAGCTGCAGCATCAAATTGCTTTGTTTCCCTCCAGGGATCCGGTATATATGAGGCAAACTGTAAATATAAACGTAAAACTAGGTAGATTGGAAAAGCGTAAAGATTGACGCCACATTTCAAACTTTTGAAATGTCACCAACCATTTCCTTAATCATCTAGTACCAAATATTTGTATTATAAATTACTTTTAACCAGGAAAATGGCAGGCATCCTACAACTATAGCATGTAGGAATAGAGCTGTATGTGATTAATGAGCCCTCAGTCCATTTAAATCTTCCGGCTTTTCTTACAGAGACATAAGTTTGGTTTGGTGACAGCCATGGAGAAAGGTTGATTCTCTCATTGTTGAGCTAATCAGACGTAGAGTTGTCCTAATTTTAAAAGGATCCATTTTCAGTTTATAGGTTAAGACCATCAGCTATTTATACAGAAAAAATATCAATGACATCATTTGCATTGACAAAGCTCCTGGACCTTTGGAGGGGACCTTGGTGCCCACAACACCAAAAAATCTCCACCGTACTTAACATCATATATCAGGAGCTTTCAAACAAATCTCTGTACTCCAATAAAAGAACATTAAAAAACAATCCACTGGACTTTGTTTCCAAGTTTGAAGGCATTTCGGTTCCCATCCAAGAAGCTTTTTAATTCAAAATGTCAGGAATAGCGTTGAGTTCGAGGATTTATGCAGTACTTTTTACTGTATAAAACCTCAAACTCAACGCTGACTATGATCTGGATGACTGGGAATCTTCACCAGCAAATCTCTGTACTCCACGTCAAACAGCTTAATCTCTTTCAAATCTTTCGTCATTGCTTTTAAATGATTGTTAGGGGCAACAATAATTATACAACTCAGGACTTAGTTGATATAAAACCTTTCTTTGTTTTTAATTTTACCTCTCAAATAGAAAAAAACATGATTATATCTTCATTATCCTACAGAACAAAAAAAGCCAACATTATGCTCAACACTCTTAAGAAATGTATCCTCTCAAATAGCTTTATTATATTATGTTTAGCTAAAGGACTTAAAATGAAAAATCAAATCCTGCTGCGAAGGATAGAAACTATCAGTATCATCATAAGACCAAATATTATTTAAAACTGTTTAACTTAGAGTCTTTAACATTGACTATTCTAATAGATTTATTTGTGTTTAAAACTGTATTTTTTCTTCATTATGTCTTTATGATTCAGTTAGGTACTTACTTATATATCTATCTACATTAACTCAGGCTTACCTGTAGGTTCGCGGTTCTTAGCATCCCGCAGATAGCGTAATGCACATTCATAATCGCCCAGGTGATAGAAGGCGATACCGGCCCGGTACATGGCCTTAAAGTGGTCTCTCTGGTGGCTAAGCACCTTCAGACAGTACTCCTTCACCCTCTCGTAGTTTACCAACTCAGATTGTAGAAGACAGGCTGCAGGAGAGAACAGAAAAGATGGCAAGAAATAATTAAGGCAGGAAAGAAACTGTTTGCCGAGATCCCCATACAAAGGTTACCGGTAATGTTATTCAATGGTTGCACTTTCATAGTTTCCCAGTGAAACTTTTTCATGGTTTATCTTCTGAGTAGTGGTGAGCAGACTATAAATAGTGTGTCCTAATGTCTTACAGAGCGCAGAAAAGACAAAAAAAAAGGGGAAGCAATTGAAGCCCCCAGGCGAGAGCATGGTGTCTCTTTTATTTATTGCTTTCACTGGATGTGTCAGGCAAAATAGAGGAATGGAGTGAAACGGCAGCCACAGAACGATGCAGACACCTAATGTTTTAGAGTCAGGCACAAGAAAAAAAGCAAGAGAAAGGGCTGAGTGGATTATCAGAACACATCAGGAAAAATAAAAATACTACAGTCATCAATCCTACCTGTCAAACTAGCGATATCTCAGCAGTTCTTACATCAGCTTAGGCTGGAACTACTTTATTATGAAAAGCACACAAGAAAAGTCAAAGACAGCTTTTAGTCCATCAGAGCTTTTAAACACCACTGATGGCTCCGATATCCTCTGCTGATCACAACCACACAAGCTTTTATTTCCACCCGTTTCCCTTCAACTCTCCCATTGTCTCTGCCAATTAATCTGGTGAGACATTAGAAAAGAAATCCCTCTATCTAAGTGTGGGACCACAGTTCCACACTTCTTCCCTGTTTCCTCTGACTTTGTCCTTGACATATTTGTTAAAATCATGAGTCATGGAGCGTTAGCTGGGAGGCATGGTGAGTCAGAGGTGAGAGGCAGACTGGGGAGGGAGGGAGGTGGAGGTGTTTGTGTGGGAGAGCGGGGTTAAAGCAGGGGAGAGGAGCAGCACCTTTGGAGGCGACGTGGTGAATAGGAGGAGTGTGATGAAAGCAGTTTACAGCCTTCCACCCACCATCCTCTTCAGATCAACACAAAGAACATAATAATTAAAGTCATATCAATGTGATTCATGGTTTTTAGCATTTTCTATTCAATTAATTTTCAAAAGTTAGGTCTAGTTTTGTGTTCAGCACCTCTGACTCCATTGAACCCCCCTTGAGAGTACGTCTCTGTAAACATTCCACAATTTGAAATAGAAATTCTAAGCAGGGATCTAGATCTGACTTTGACTAGGCACACTGACCACATTAAAATACTTTGAGATAAGCAACTCTACTGTTACTCTAACTTCAAGTCACCAATGACAACTCCATTTAAAGGGGAAAAGAACCTTGTTGAGTGCTTGATAAGTGCTGCAGTTCTGTGTTTTGACCACAGGTGGCAGTATAATTATTAGAAAACTCTGTCATACCCCTTTAAGGTCTCTGTTTATAGGGATAAACCATCCCATTAAGGCTGGTTTCCTGTTTGGTACCTTAGCCGCTTGTTTTGTTTGTATGACCGCCATTGTGTAACAACTCATGAAGATGGACCAGCTAGAAGAGAGAATCTGCGAAGAAGTGAGGAAATACCCACATCTTTACGACCGTCTTTCTCCACATGACAAGGACAGCTCATATTCAAGCATTTCGTGGAGGGAGATAGGGATGAATGTGTGTCTAGATATGGCTGAGGTGGTGAGGAAGTGGAAAAACTCAAGGAACAAGTTAGTCTCAAGCCTTAGTCTGCATCCTCCAACATGCTTTCTGCCAGGATAGTTGTGCATTTATCAGACAGTATAATGCCTCCATAATTCACAGTGGGGATGGTATGTTTATTTCAATGTGTTTCTTTTTCTCTGCACAACATGTTATATGTGCAAGTGAAAAAGTTTCATTTTGCTCTTGAATTGACTTTCTTGTTGACTCTTTAAAGGCTTGACCAGCGTAACCATAGGGCTCCTGACTACTTTCCTTATTAACATTTAGGCTACATCAGATCCTGAGGACTTAGATTGGGCTTGAAATACATTTCTAAGCCAAAGTCGATGCTGATAGGGACCAATTTATGTAATGTAATGTATGGTATTGAGTTTAAAAAATTGTCCCAAAACATTGGGTACAGATGATCTCATCAATAAAACTGGATGCAGCATGCATGGATAACAGACAGGAGAGGCTTGAAGAAACTGGTGGCATGGTATATAAAAAAAAAAGAATAGAAACTAAGAACCTGGAACTTTACTGGTTCAGGGATATAAATTAACTTAGGCCATTTTTAAAATAAAATACTCCCTTCTATAAACAAATCTTTGACAACAGCCTTTTCATTGGAGCACTCTCACTTTAAGGAGCAGATTAACGTTGACCAAACCCAAATATACAGCAAATGTTCTTTTTTGCTGGACTAACTTCATAAGACTGTAATTGGGTCTAGTTGTCATGGTAACAAACTTCTGAGACTTTCACAGAACATCTGTATTTATGATAAAATTAAAATATACTCAGCAAGACACTACGTGCTAATTAGGGGAACACTGAAGGCCATTTGTTGCACTGGATGCTCTTAAGGGGTGTAGGAGTGAATATGGTAGTGCCAGCATATATTTCTCTGAGTTTTATTGTATAAAAGTCATTGGGTACTCTAACGTTTAATTATGAAAACTTTTTTATCAGAATTATTAATCAAAACCAATTTCCATATTCCAAATAAACTTAGGTTTGTTATTTTGATGAAGGTAATTTCTTGTATGAAAGGTGTGATATTATTAAGAAAATGTTTTTCAGCTTTCCTTAGAGCTGGACTTTGATGCAACTGAAAAACGTGGGAGAAAAACAATCAAAATCCCAAATAAATACTATGAAGAAAAGGAGGCCTTTAAAAAATATCATGCGCCAGGCTCCTTGTGGGCCAAAAAAGGACTGTGGCAGGAATTATAAAATGAATACCTGCATAAGAATCCACACATATAGGTTTGATAATAACAGGAACATAAAGAAAACTGACACTTCATGTTGTAAGTCAGAGTCAGGGGCAGAGCAGGAAGGGCAAAGCTGTTTTCCCTCTTTAGTCAACATAAAGCCCTCTCACATCTACTACAGCAGGATTCACCTCACTCGCCCTCCACCTGTCCTGCACACCCTGCAATACACACGCTACTCTGTTTGTTTCTACCAGCACTTAGCAATCACAAGACTCTTCCTCGCTGCACACCCATCCATCATCTTCCTCCAGCAGGGAGCAGGGCGCTGAGCTTTCAGAGGATTCAGTTACAGTCCATAATGGTTTAATGGCTGACTTAGAGGTCTCACTCATACTGACACACTAATATACAACCAATACACACCAACACTGCATACAGTACATACAAGTAATCCAAACATCACAATGAAACTGTGAAAACATCCACCTGTGCCAACATGGGTGAACAAAAATATCCACTCAAAAAAATCTGCACAAAGCAGATGACTTTAGCAGGAGGACGCACCACAATTGTATGAGGCCCTTCAAATATACACAATCCACAGTGTGCAGAAGTGATGACTGGCTGGCCGCACCCAGTCGGCCCATTAGGCAGATGGATGGAATGCCAGAGGAAATGTAGAGTGTGGTGGGATGCATTAAAGATACGACGATAATGATGGGATCATCGGACCACGCTCTGCAGGGGCACGGACCCAATAAACACAACGGAGCGAATTCACAGTAGCCGAAACGTCTCTGTCACTAAAGACATGACTGTGTCTGGTATAACTGGAGACACGTGACAGCAGGTGCAGCGAATGGGTGACAAGTTAGTTAGTTAGTTTTTTATTTTTATTTTATTTTATTTATTTATTTTATTATTTTTTCCTACTTGCTTTGATTCTGTTTTATTTTCCTATATTTTAATCTTGTAAAGCACTTTGCATTGTCTTTGTATTAAATTGTGCTATACAAATAAATTGGCCTTGCCTTGCCTTGCCTAGCAATTAAAGAAAAAGCGTGGCAAGTATTAAACGTAGAAAAAGATGATAAACAACTGACTTCTTTTTTTGTTTTCATCTCAGTCTTAGACAAAGTTTGACAAAAGTTCTAAAGAAACTTAGAGATTCAACTTATACATTATAATGATTACTTTGGTACATTTACACACATTCTCTGAAAAATGTGTCTCATATTCTCAATCTATGAATCCCATCAATTCTTTACAGTCAAAATAATGTGAATTCCTCTCTGTGTGTTATTTAATTTTTAGATGGCCGACAAAAACCATCAAATGAATAAACAATTTTATAAAAAACACTGATGAGCTTAGCGTTTAAAAACACTATGGTGAATGGAAATCACAACTCATTCTCACAACTCTTTCTCTTCATTCTACTCTTGCTGTAGATAGTACAAAAGTTTTTTTTACATAATTTTTTCTTAAACCCACAAACTCAGAACACACTAAACAGTATAATACATGGCGCTACACATAAGGGGGTGAAGTGTACTGTACATACAGTAACAGCAATAAACATGCGGTTATCTTCAATCCTGGCCTCCACTGCATGAAAACAGGGATCTTTCTGCTCAAGCTTTAAATGCTAATTGCAAAAATGTTGCATATTGCTTTTAAATTTTGTTCCATAAAGTTTACTTATGAGAATTGTGCTTAATGCATGAGAGACGTGTGAAGTGTTTTGAAAAAAAAAAAAAAAATGTGTTTTAGAACTACATCTAGAGAGAAGAGCAGAAAACGGGTGTATAGTTCAGCAGAACTGGTTCAAGCTGGTGCATGAGTTACATCTTTTGGTGTGTAAATATTGGAAAAAACCTACATTTTCCTAGTCATACTGATATTAGGAGTAATGAAAAAAATGTACAAAGCCCAACAGAAGAATCACAGGCGGCTTATTTTTCATCATCTTTCTTTAGGTTACTTATTTTAAGGAGGATCAAGGAGCTAAAGTAATGTGAGCCTTTCAGATGTGATGCAGACAGCTGATTTCTCTTAATCAGCTGCTTCATACAGGGAATAATAGAGAGATCTGAGGATTCCAGGCTTTACTTTCTGCTTTCCGAGGGATTCAAGAAGGAGCAATGTGTAAGAATT